GTGTTTTAAAAACTGAGGTTGGAGAGTTGAAGGAGGAGGTCTTGCTTCTCCAGGAGGAGATTAGGAGGCTGAAGGTCCACCTCAATGGGCCTGGGAGAGAGTGTGAGGTGGTTGGAGATGTGGGGAATGAGGCTTCTAGCAAGTGAGGTGCAGTCTGTCTCTTCCTGTGAGGAGCTGTAGGTGGGAGGTAGCAACGGCTACCCGCATGAGGTGCAGCCCAGCACCTGCTACAAGTGGCGAGTTGTTCACAGTAATGGGAGGCCATAGAGTAAGGAAAGTTAAGAGTGAAGATCTGAAGGTAGGAAATGCTTCTCGGGTTCTCAGGATGATGTACTTCAGTGGCAAGTGAAGGTAAGGGTACTACTATGCCCGCTAATGAAGTAAGCCGCATTTTGGGGTTTGGTGCTCCAGGTAAATATGTTGACCTTGCTTTTTGTAATAGGAATAAGAAGATGAGAGATAGAGGTGCTTCCCTGGAGCTGGTGTTGGGACATTGTAAACGACTGGATAATATCATGTCAGGTAAGGGAACAGCCCATTATCTGTCTCAGTGCTGGTGGAAAGATATTGGGAAGGGTAGGAGAGAAGAGTGCTAGATTAGTACAGGTCAGCTATAGATTTCATTAGTCTAAGGGAGGGATCCCAAATTTCATTGAAGCATCTTGCTAAAGGGAGAGGAAATAATGGTTGTCTAGGGCAATTGGTGAAATTGCTGGTAGACAGTTTACTGAAAGGGAACTTGCAACCCATCATGACAATGGAACAACTTTTATGGCAACATGATATTTTGCAAGGGATGGGGTTCATCTCTCTGGGGCAGGGGTGGTAGCACTTGCAACTCGATTGGAAGGCCTTTGGGTGAAATGCCTATGTTTTTAAAAACTGATGGAAGATAGAGGTATGGGTGTGTGTTGGGAAACAAGCGGGTTTTGCAACATAGGGTTGGAAAACAGTAAATGTATAAAAGGCAATTCAGCATGAAGTTATAAATAAAGACAATAAAAACAGGTCAGCAAAACAAAGGGGGACAGCAGGGGGCAGCAAAGGGATAGCTCCCTTAAGGTTTACTATACAAATAGCAGGAGGGGTTAGAAATAAGATAGATGAGCAAAGATTAATTGCAAGTGCAGGAAAACATAGATATTATTGCTATAACAGAGACCTGGCTCAATCTGAAAGATAGAGAGATCCCCCTCTAATGTCACATACAAGGCTATAAATTATTCCACACTGACAGGGTCAACAGGAAAGGTGGTGGAGTGCGATGTATGTCAGAGAAAATTTTTAAATTGTTGTGTTAGACAAGATATTAAATTAGAAGCGTCAGCCACTGAATTGTTTGGTTACAGCTTCTCGGGGGCCCGAAAAAAAACTAATTTTGGGTGTGATTTAGGGGGCCCCCCAAATCTTGATAGGGAGTGCAGTAAACTTCTATGGGACGAAATTCGTAAGGCATCTACATACGAAAAATGTTGTGCTAAGGGGGGAGATTTCAAACTATAGACAGATTGACTGGAGCAATTTGACAGGAAATTTAGAGTGGGTGACTTTCTTGATACAATCCAGGATTGTTTTTTAAAACAGTTTGTGACAGAGCAACTAGGGGAAATAACCTCCTTGACTTGGTTCTTGCCAGTAGGGAAACACTAATTAATAATCTTGAGGTTAATGATGAGCTTGGGGAGAGTGATCACAAATCACTCAGTTTTAACATATCAGGGAAATTTCCCCCTTTAATAATGGCAATCAAGTCTCCGCCCCTTGACTTTCGCTTGGCTGTTTCATAGGACTGAAAAATACTTAGGTGGGCTGAACTGGAATGACCTGACTAGGGGTCAGGTAGGTGGTGATGGTTGCCGATATGATGCTTTCCAGGGCATAGTTCTAGCTGCTCAGTCAAATTATGTTCCAAATAGGGAAATCAGATCAAACAAAAATGATCCTAAATGGATGAACAATGATTTAAAATATCTGATTGGTCAAAAGAGGGCATATATAGGCAAATCAAAAGAGGAGAGGGCAATTAAGAAATCGATATATTCAGTTAAAGAGAGAAATAAAAAAGGGAATTAGAAAAGCAAAAAGGGAGATTATGAGGTTAAAGTTGCAAGAAAAATCGAAGACTAACCCCAAAAGGATTCTTTCAGGTATACAGAAGTAAGATCAGGGACAAGATAGGCCCACTCAAAAGTTCCTCGGGTCAGCTCATGACAGTGATAAGGAAATTTTGTAGAATTTTAACACATACTTCCCCTCTCAGTTTTTACACAGGAGGATACCAGCGATATTCCATTTAATGATAATTATGTTAAACAGGACGATAATAAATTGTGCACTATTAGGGTCACAAGTGACATGGTCCTTAGGCAAATAGAAAAATTAAAAACCTAACAAATCCCCAGGGGCCTGATGAAGTGTATGCAAGGGTTCTAAAGGAATGTAAAGAGGAGCTTAGCACACCTTGGCTAATCTTTTCAACATATCACTACAAACTGGCATGGTGCCAGATAAGTGGAAAATGGCAAATGTGATACCTATTTTCAAAACGGGTGACAGGTCCTTAGCTTCGAACTATAGACCAATAAGCCTAACCTCCATAGTGGGAAAATTTATGGAATCAATAATTGCCGAGGCAGTTCGTAGCCACCTTGAAAAGCATAAATTAATCAACGAATCTCAGCATGGTTTTACAAAGGGGCGTTCCTGCCCCCACGAATTTATTAACTTTTTTCACTAAGGTATTTGAGGAGGTAGATCATGGTATGAATATGATATTGTGTATATGGACTTCAGTAAGGCTTTTGACGGGTCCCATCAGAGCTATTGAGGAAAATTAAAGCACATGGAATAGGAGGAGAAATTTTTTCCTGGATAGAGGCATGGGTTGACAAATAGGCAGCAAAAGAGTTGCATAAATGGGGGAGAAATCAGAGTGGGGAAGCGTCCGAGCGGTTTTTCCACAGGGGTCAGTGTTGGGCCCCCTGCTGTTCACAATCTACATAAAACGACATAGATGGGGGGCATAAAGAGCGGAAAATCGGCAAGTTTGCCGATGACACCAAAATAGGGGGCCCTGAATTCATTCTGACGAGGACATTCGAGCCACTCCAGGAAGATTTGAATAGACTGATGCAGTGGTCGGAGAAGTGGCAGATGCAGTTTAATATAGACAAATGCAAAGTTCTAAATGTTTGGGCAGGCAATAACCATGCCCCATATAAACTAAATAATGTAGATCTTATTTTTACGGATTGCGAAACAGATTAGGAGTTCTGGTTAGCAGTAAACTGAAACCAAGACAAAAAGTGCATAAGTGTTCGCAATAAAGCTAATAGAAACACTTGGCTTCATATCAAGAAGCATAAATAATAGGAGTCCTCAGGTTGTTCTTCAACTCTATACATCCTTGGTTAGGCCTCATTTAGATTATGCTGCACAGTTTTGGTCACCGTATTACAGAATGGATATAAATTCTCTGGAAAATGTACAAAGGAGGATGACAAAGATGATCCCATGTATCAGAAACCTTCCCTATAAGGATAGACTAAGGGCCCTGAAACTGCACTCTCTAGAAAGGGCGTAGAATTAGGGGGGGTATGATTGAGGTTTATAAGTGGAAAACAGGAATAAATAAAGGGGATGTAATAGTGTGCTGAAAATATCTAGCCTAGACAGGACTCGCAGCAATGGTTTAAGTTGGAAAAATTCAGGGTTCAGGGGGGATATAGGAAAGTACTGGTTTGGTAATAGAGTTGTGGATGAGTGGAACAAACTCCCAAGTACCCTTATGAGGCCAGAAGTTGTGTAGCTTTAAAAATAGGTTGGATAAATACATGAGTAGATGTGGGTGGGTGTGAGTTAGACCTGATAGCTTGTGCTAACAGGTCGGTTGCCGTGTTCCTCCCTTAAGTCAATGTGACCTGACCTGACTAGGTTGGGTGCATTGGCTTAAGCCGGTAGGGACTTGGACCTGCCTCGCATGGGCCAGTAGGCCTTCTGCAGTGTTCCTTCGTTCTTATGTTCTTATGTTCTTATTAAGAGCCCCTAGCCAGCATCAAGGCACCTCCCCTGAAGGGACAATGAATTTCAAATACAGGATAGAATTGATAAATTGTTATAGGTGTATGTCTTCAAAGAGGGAGTAGATTACAGCTTTGGGCTGTCAGCTGGTAGTTATCAGGACAATAATATAAAAAAAATCATTAACTGAACTACATTAATTTGAGATAAGAGTGACACCCATCAGTTCAAAATATTCATATTATCATGCAAGAGGAACCTCTGTGAGAGTTATTTGTGGGCAATATAGACCATCTTAACCACCTGAATTTGGAAGGTGAATAAAAGGTTGACTCAGTAGATGAGCCTCCAAATCCCCATTACCCTGGAGAGGGTTTCGGGGGTCAACGCCCTCGCGGCTCAGTCTGAGACCAGCCCTCACGGTGGATCAGCGTCTGATCAACCAGGCTGTTACTACTGGCTGCACGCAAGCTGCCGTACGAACCACAGCCCAGTTGATCAGGTACTGACTAGGTGCCTGGTCAGTGCCTTCTTAAAGATAGCCAGGGGTCTATTGGTAATCCCCATTATGGTGGGTGGGAGGCAGTTGAACAGTCTTGGACCCCGGACACTTATTGTGTTGTCTCTCAATGTACTCGTTGCGCCCCTGGTTTTCACTGGGGAAATGTTGCATCTCCTGCCGAGTCTAGGTGTCAGGTTGACCAAAAGGAAAAAGCACACGCTAGAGCATTGTATAACGCAGTGCCCACGCAGCAGGACCTAGATAATGGTTCAGGAGGAACGATAACGTCGTATAAAGTGTCAAGCAGCGCTTGGAAATGACAGAGCATTAGGGCTGATCCAAGTAAGTTAATGTTAATTTACGTTAGGCTACATTAGGTCAGTAAGGTATGGTGAAAGTACTTGCATTAGGTTAGTTAAGTTAGCGTTAAAATTACCAGCATACACCAGGGTTGAATTTCAGGCAGACTGTCTCCTACCTTCCACCGGCAATAAAACCTCTCAATATTTTGTAATTTTCAAAACTTTACGGCTCTGGATATGTTCGTGCCTGCACCTAGATAAGTAAAGGACGTTGCGGTTATCATATCTGAACTTACAACCAGTATAGTTATGAACAAAAGTTGGTAAATATGACGAGAATAACGTTCGTAGTCCACCAGCGGCCGCTCACCTGCCTCACTCAAATCACCTCCCATCTTATCATTCACGTTGAAGTCAAAATAACATAATAAATCTTCGTTTCCCTACCGAATTGCGCTATAAAATTTAACAAAACGTGGTACTTCAATAGCATATAATTTTCTAATTAATTTTAATTACGATATAAGTTTTGAATTGACAAGTTAAGAACCTTTAAGAGGGAGACATTTAGATGTGAGACGAGAGAATAAATCCAGTTCCATGGATCAAGAGCCCCTCACCATCATCAAAGACCCTCCTCTGAAGGATCCTTGACGTTAATGAGGGGTTTTTGATCTAAGGAACTGGATCTGTCCTTCCTTTGGACTGAACCTGATTACCTCCGTTTCCCAGGCGCTGCATAACCCCTATGGGTTTAGTGGTCACTGTTTAATATAACGAACTCAGCTAAATGTTGCAACTTATCTTTTCTGAACTCTAGTATACACGGTGCTAGCTCGTGTGAGTGTGAGTTTTCATCAGAGCTGCCTCCTGGTGTTATTACTGCAACAATATTATTTGCTATATTCCTCCATTTTAGGTGCCTTAAGTTGAAATCCCCCAGGAGCAAGATGTTGGGTGCAGGAGCTGGAAGATTTTCCAGACAGTGGTCAATTTTTAACAGCTGTTCCTGGAATTGCTGGGATGTTGCATCCGGAGGCTTGTAGACTACCACAATGACTAGGTTTTAGTTCTCGACCTAGATTAGATTTAGATTAGCGACCTTTACTGCTAAAACTTCCACTACATCATTTGAGGCATTTAGCAGTTCTGTGCAAACAAGTGACTCTGCAATGTACAGGCCAACCCCCCCCCCCCCTTTTCCTGTTCACTCTGTCACATCTGTATAGGTTGTAACCTGGGATCCATATTTCGTTGTCCAAGTGATCCTTAATGTGGGTCTCAGTGAAAGCCGCGAACATTGCCTTTGCCTCTGCAAGCAGTTCACGGATGAAAGGTATTTTGTTGTTTGTTGCTGGCTTTAGACCCTGTATATTTGCAAAGAAGAATGTTATCGGACTGGTGGTATTGTTGGTACTGTGGGGGGATTTTTTCTCCGGCATTAGTATCTGTATCTGTTTGCTTGGAGTGGAGGCCATCGACTGTGGTTCCACTCCAGGAATGACTGGATTTGGTGTACGATTTCTGCCATTTCCTGCCAGTTTTTTTTCCTTCCTGGCACTAAAAAACCTCTCCCTCTTGAGTGGCTGTGGCTACCCAGGTTTTCCCTTGGCCTGGATGTTTTGTATCTTTTTGTACCCTTAAGATGGTGTGCCTGGCAATTTAAGTTATAGCACCGTCTTTCCTGTACTGAAGAGGTACACATTTCAGGGTGAAAAAGCTTACAGGAAGGGAGTTTGCATTTTCCTGTTGTCATATGGGCATGGCATTTTCTAGGGTGGTCATAGTTGCACGTCCCGTCTGTTTTTCCAGATTTCCCATGTCTGCAGATACCAAGTGCACAGTATGTGCACAGGCTTGGTTTCCGTTTGCCTTGGGTTTCTGTGACTGTATTCCCTGTTGGTGCATGTTTCCCTGTCTTATTCCTATCCTCCCTAGCACCAACAATGGAGCTCCCACCAGTTGTTTTTGGTAATATATCCTCACTTTAGCTAGTGGAGTCCTCTTGTTTGCTATTTCCTGTGGTATTTCTAGTTTGCATGACCAGTGACATCACTACTGCATGACCAGTGACATCACTACTGTGGAAAATACTGCATATATTTTCCAGAAATTCAGTATTTATATGTAAATAGATGGCCATACTGTATTTAATAATATTTATGTCATAGAAAACGGAAAGCCTGTGTCTGCGCAGACGAGACTCACCATCTTGGTTTTGAATTTTGTACAAACGTTGGTGTAATGGGAAGAATTTTTCGTGCTCTAGAGGCTAAAATTGTGTTGACACCTCTCAAATAGGAGGCGAAATTGGTGGATGTGCATTCCTGCATAACTTGAGATATCAGACAACTGGACAAGACAGCTCCAGGAACCTCAGATAAGCTCTCTAGATTTGTGTGCAATTCTGGCCAGCATTATTTTCATAGATTTAGTTAGAGTGAGGTTTTCTGAGTATGATGCACATTAATCTCCAGTCAAATTGGTGAGTGATATTAAGATATATTTTCCTTCTGTTATGTAATTGTGAATATACATAACCATTTATTATTTTTAATATACAGTCCACAAATTTATATATTTACCAGTATTCCCGGTTTTATGTATATTTCATTTAATTAATAGGTCCAGAGCAACTTGTGGTTATGACAGTAGTAGGTTTTCGAAGGGGAAAATTTTTTGCGACCTAGGTGTCCCAAATTCCTACTTGTCTATGTAACATTGATAAATAATAATTATCTTTGTTATCATTTATTGCTATGTACATAATTAGTTACATTCAGATAAATGCAATTTTCCACATTTAATATGCCCGTTGGTCCTTCTTGAACCGGAGGTAATTAGTGAAGTCATTAATTAGTTAATTACTTAATAATTATATGTGAAATGACAGAAGGAGGTGGATATTAAGTTCACAAATTTGTTTAATGTGTAGTGGATTATAATAATTACAATATTAATTTTGATAAGATAAGCCAAGTGTAGCTAATTATATTAATGTGTATATTAATTTTGCAAAGCCAAAGTGGCTAGGATTTATATTAATGTATTTGTATAATGTTAATTTTGATAAGCCAATTCTGGCCAAGATTTATATCAATGTATGTGTAATTGATAAGCCAAGTGTAACTAATTATATTAATGTGTATATAAATTTTGCTATGCCAAATTCTGGCAAGGATTTATTAATTTGTGTAATATTAATTTTGAATGAGCCAAGTTTGTATTAACGTACATTTAAAATTTATATAATTTTTTTGCACATGTAATTGCTGAGCTCAAGTAGCTAGAATTTATTTAAAGGTAAGTTGCACTATTTACCTTTATAAAGTGCATAATTTAGTACATAATCAGTGTTATTAAGTTGAATTTAATACATTGCATCATGGCTGAAAATGAGGAAATTAATATAGAAGACAAACATATGGAATATAGAGTAAAGAAAGCATCAATACAGGCTAGAAAAGTTCATGTAACCAAGGCATATAATAAGTGCTTGGAATTAATGAATCAAGAAACTGTGAATACTGATGATTTAAAATTGTATTTAGATGCTTTTAGCCTGGTGGCTAAAGCTTCCGCTTCACACACGGAGAGCCCGGGTTCGATTCCCGGCGGGTGGAAACATTTCGACACGTTTCCTTACACCTGTTGTCCTGTTCACCTAGCAGCAAATAGGTACCTGGGTGTCAGTCGACTGGTGTGGGTCGCATCCTGGGGGATAAGATTAAGGACCCCAATGGAAATAAGTTAGACAGTCCTCGATGATGCACTGACTTTCTTGGGTTATCCTGGGTGGCTAACCCTCCGGGGTTAAAAATCCGAACGAAATCTTATCTTATCTTATCTTATTTATTAGTAAACTGTGTAGATGAGACTGAAATAGATCTCATGATTAATCAGTATTATGAATTAGACGAAAAGATTCTTGTAAAAGTCAGGCCTTGAATAAATTAAAATGTGGAAACCAGGAAGTTGGTCAGTCTGCTCCAACAAATAATATGTCTTTGCCAAAACTCCCAGAATTGTGTTTGCCTGTGTTTAATCCTGGAGAAAATTGGGAGGAATTTTGGTCAATTTTTAAAGCAGCTGTGCATGTAGGAGTGATCAAGCGTGTAAAAATATTTTACTCAAAGGACAGGTGAGAGATGCTCACCTGGGAGACAGTAATGGTGAAGCTGGAGGTGCTGTCCTCGGAGACAGTAATGGTGAAGCTGGAGGTGCTGTCCTGGGAGACAGTAATGGTGAAGCTGGAGATTTGTCCAGGTAGTCGGGAATTTAGGGGGAAAGGGAATACATAAAATGACTCATGGGGGAAGGAGCGTATGGGGAAACAAGTGTATCAAAGATAAGAAAAAACCCAAATATTGCAAACTAGAAATACCACAGGAAATAGCAAAAAGAGGACTCCACTAGCAATAGTGAGGATATATTACAAAACAACGGGTGGAGCTCATTGTTGGTGCTAGGGAGGATAGGAATAAACAGGGAAACATGCACCAAAGGGAATACAGTCACAAAAACCCCAAAGGCAAACGGAACCGACTGTGCAATACTATGCACTTGAAATCTGCCGAATGGAAATCGGGAAAAAAACAGACGGGACGTGCAACTATGACTACCCTAGAAAATGCCGTCCCCATATGACAACAGGAAAAGCAAACTCCCTTCCTGTAAGCTTTTTCCCTGAAATGTTACCTCTTCAGTACAGGAAAAAACTGTGCTATAACTTAAATTGCCAGGAACACATCTAAAGGGACAAAAAGATACAAACATCCAGCCTGGAAACTGGGTAGCCACAGCACTCAAGAGGGAGGGTTTTTTGTCCCAGGAAGGAAGAAAACGGCAGGAAAATGGCAGGAAAAAATCTACACCAAATCCAGTCATTCCTAGTGGAACCACAGTCATGCCTCCACTCCAAACCCAACAGATACAGTTACTAATGCCGGAAAAAAAATCCCCCCCCCAGTACAAAAAAAACCACCAGTCGATGACATTTTTCTTGCAAAATACAGGGCAAAGCCAGCAACAAACAACAAAATAACTTAAACGTGGATTGCTTGCAGAGGCAAAGGCAATGTTCGCGCTTTCACTGAGACCCACATATAGGATCACTTGGACAACGAAATATGGATCCCAGGTTACAACCTATACAGATGGACAGAGTGAGCAGGCAAAAAGGGGGGGTTGGCCTGTACATTTGGCAGGAGTCATTGTTTGCACGAACTGCTTAATGCCTCAAATGATGTAGGGAAGTTTTAGCAGTAAAGGTC